TTTCCACTTTAATTTGATCTTTGTGCATATGCTTGGTGATTGTGGTTATGAAAATCACTTTGGTTTTGGAAAGTGCAAACTCAACAAAGGTAACTTGGTTGTGTCTAGAGGGGACAAAAATTTAAACTATATTGGACAAAAGCATTGGTTGTTAGGAACAGTGTGAATGTCATCAACATGAAAGCATCTTTGTGGCACACAAGACTTAGTCATATTAGTGAAAAGGGGCTTAATGTTCTTCTTGGATTAAAGAATACAAATTTGGAGTAGTTTTCTCATTGCATGGATGCTAAATAGACTAGAGTATCTTTCAAGAGAAATTTTCCCTCAAGAAAGTCAAACTTGCTTCAATTGGTACATTCTGATGTTTGCGGTCCATTAAAGATAAAACCCTTCAGTGATGCACTTTATTTTGTTACCTTTATTGATGAATTCTCTAGGAAACTACGGGTTTATGCCTTGAAGACAAAAGATCGAGTGTTGAAAAAGTTTAAAGAATTTCATGCTTTGGTTGAAAGGCAGATAGGCGAGAAGCTGAAATATGTTCGTCCAGAAAATGGTGGAGAGTATTGTGGACCATTTTATTCTTATTGCAAGCAGCATGGTATTGCACATGAAAAGACACCTCCTTAAACTTCTCAATTAAATGGTTTAGTTGAGAGGATGAATTGGACACTAATTGAGAGACTAAGGGGTATACGCTTTAAAGCTAAGTTGCCTAATCATTATTGGGGCAAGGCATTTTATACTACAATACATGTTCCTAATCTCACTCATATTGTTGCTTTGAACAATTAAGTTCCAGACAAAATTTGGTTTGGAAAGAATCTCAAGTATGATCATTTGAGAGACTTTGGTTGTAAGAATCTTGCGTATATTCTTAAGGATAAAAGATCCAAGTTGGATGCAAAGTCAAAACAATGTATCTTCATCAACTATGGGCAAGGTGAGTTTGGTTACAGGTTGTTTGATCCTGTAGGGAAAAATCTTATTCAAAGCTGCGATGTGGTGTTTATGGAAGACCAAACTATTGAAGACAATTATAAGGTAGAGAAGGTTACACACAAGAAATATATAAGTTTGTCTAGTGTTTATCAGTTTGATTACCTAGTCATAATCTAGATGATATAAGTGACAATGATTGCAATGGTAAGCTATATGATTATGTTGATGATCAACAACTTGGAGATGAGGTCAATATTACAACTAATGGGGGTGAAGAGGAGAGAGATATGTCATAGGATGAGAATCTTGGTGAAGCTCCATAATCAAATTCAACCTTCTACAAGGTATGATTTAGATGAGTGTGTGACCTTGACTGATGATGGTGAACTCAAGTGTTTTCAAAAGATCATGTAATATGATGAAAATCAAAAGTGGTTTGATGTAATGCTTGATGATATGAAATCATTACATGATAATCACATTTATGATTTAGTGAAGTTGCCGAAAGGCAATAGGACTTTGAAAAACAGATAGATGTATAGAGTTAAACATGAGAGAAACTCTAAGTCTCCAAGATATAAAGACAGATTAGTGGTGAAAGGTTTTCATCAAAGAAGAAGTGTTTATTTTAATGATATTTTTTCACATGTTGAAAAGATGTCATCAATTAGAACTATGCCATCAATTGAAAAGAATTGCACGTCTCTTAAAACTCACAACTAACAAGTTAGTGCAAAATATATTCTCGTTTAAAATATATTATGTGTGAAAGTAAACACTCAAATTCTAAATATAAGAGTGACTTGGATCAACAAAATATGACTTAGTTGACCCAAACCTCCCAAAGTTTTTACAATAACATAACAAATCAATAAAAGTTGAAATTGAATAGTGGAGCCACAGCAGCTTGGAAATTCATAACATCGACCATACAGTATTGAATAATATTGGTAGAACCAGTAATCAATAAGTTCATACTTTATTGAATGCTAGTGAATAAATAACCACCAAAGTTTATGCTATGAAAATAGTAATTTTTCATACAACCGGTTGAGCAGCACTACCTTGATTTGAAAAACAGTTAAACAAAAGATACAACGATACCACTCAAATACTAAACAATGACACCTATATTTTAAAACAAAAACATTAGTTTTACAAGTGTCCAAGAAAATAACATATGGAGAGGATAACAGAAAAACTAACTAGTTACATGCCAATTGCCTGAAATATTCAGATCATCATGATTTTGTTAAAATCAGTGACATCACATACCATAGTTTCTCCAAATTTACATCTAGAAGGTGGGAAAATATGGGCATATACAACTAATGAGTTCAGTGAAGAGTTGACAGCATCATACTGTCCAAAAATCTATTCAATTCAAGACAACAACTGAAAAGACTCTGAAAATACAATTCTCAAGCCTTAGATTTCATTTGACTAGCTGTAAACAAGAGAAGATATAACAAAACTGGAGATGGATTAACCTATAGTAATCAGAAAAGTACATATCATTATATACAAGAAAAAGTGATATATACAATTCTCCAGCTTAGAATGATTACAGCAATTGAATGGTTAGCTAGCTCTCTACATGATACACAAAATTGGCATGCTCAACCGGTATGTATACTAACTAATTGTTAGGGAGAAAACAAAAAAAAATGGAAGGTGGGAAACATATGATACAACAAAGAGCCAATAAAAAAAAACGGCGCATAATCAGCATCCTCTGCTAAATCCTAGTACATCATATTTAAAACAATATAAGTTCTAAATAGTCTGCAACATTTCAGACTTCTCAACAAGTAAAGCCCATTACATCAACACAATGGTTTAATCAAGAGCTAATAAAAACATAAATTCAAATCAAAAGTTCCACTTCCCAATGTAAGAAAAGGATTTTGTCATGACTTGGCTCTCCAATGTTGATGGCACTTGATCCTCAAAGCAACCCAGGTGTTTGAATGAACAGTTTCCTTTCTCAGACAATTGTCCCTACACAATATACGAGCCCATAACAATAATTGGGGCAGTTAAGATGGCACTAAAAAAAGGGTGATAGTGGGTTTAATTCATATAAAAGGGGGTGGGGAACTATTACAGTTCAGTTAAACGGCACATCAGAAAATTTGAATTGTGAGAAAGTCAACCAAAACACATAAACACCACAAGCAATTTACACCAAAAAGAACATTTAACTTCATGTTTGCCTAGAAATCTTGAATAAAAACAATATCAGATTGGCCATAACCCCTCAAGCATTTCATCCTCTAGTACTTGGCATCTTTTGCATGTGCATCAGAAAATTTGAATTGTGAGAAAGTCAACCAAAACACATAAACACCACAAGCAATTTACACCAAAAAGAACATTTAACTTCATGTTTGCCTAGAAATCTTGAATAAAAACAATATCGGATTGGCCATAACCCCTCAAGCATTTCATCCTCTAGTACTTGGCATCTTTTGCATGTGCATAAATGGCTTGAAAGTATGGAGACATAGTTTTCAACCCAATTTTCAGATCCATGTACAAAGCTCCCGCTTAGGTACTTCTCACGGGAGCAATTGATACAAGGGGATAACTAGGGGTGGCAAACGGCCATGCTCGGCCCGTTTAGGTCCACCCCGCAAAAGCTCCCAAAAAAACAGGGCGGGGCTTAAAACGTTGGCCTCTACCACAAAAAAAAAAAAGAGGGTAGGACAAGGTGAGCATGCGGGCACTGCACCTCTAAAGCCTATAAATTGCAACAAAAAAATAGTTAATGCAAAAAAATGAGGGTAGGACGGGGTGAGCCGCAAAAACAAATGGCGGTCATATTAGAGGGTGCGGGCAAAAAATAGGCATGCCCCATTTTGCCAACCCTAGGGATAACCATTGCAATGAATTGTACAACAAACATGTTACCACAAATAAGACTTTGATATGACGACTATTATGATCACACAATTAACAAGTGCATTTCTGCCAAATCTTATTGTTTTATATTCAGAAAGTTACAGCATCAACACATGGGGGAGGGGGAGTGGAAAAGGAAGCATCCTTGTAAAATTTCAAGCCAAACCTGTAACCATTACCAGCACAATGTTGTTAATTGGCAGTTTATGGCAGATGGCAAAATTCCACATATAAATGTGGAATCACGGCCTTTAGTCATGCCATGACCAGTGGTGGTTCACAAATTGCCAATGAAGGCTAGCACAAAATCCTGCAGGCTATTCTGCCATGCCGCTATTTAACAACACTGTACCAGCATCCACATGTAGAAATTACATAACTAGAATGACCATACACATAGCTGACTCATGATTCTAAATCCCCTTGTTTGCTTAATTAACAGAAGAAAAATTGTTTTAAATGCATGTTTCTACTTTATAGCAGAGGACACTCAGAATTATGGATTTCAATTCTATCAAATATTTAATACTATAGTCTAACAGCCACCTGGTTTTAACAAAAAGATTAATAAACTTAGTCGTGTAAGGCATCATATAGCAAAGGAAAACAAGAAAAACAGCATTGTCTCATACTGAAATCACATGCAAAATAGCACCATGAAGCTTGGGGGACAAGCAAGAAAGTAACCCTTCAACATATACATAATATGAAAATGAATGATGATTCTAAATTATAGAAAAGTAGATATGAATAAAAGAAAAACTACAGTGCAATTTAACATATGGAATAATGGAATTTTAAATTTAAAAATTATACTACCAAAAAACTTGTTTTGTATTTAACCTAAAATTGGATTATGAGAAGCTTTTAAATTGCAGGCTATAGTATTTTAATCATAATAAGCATAGCAGACAAGTGTCACATGCATTATAGAAAGACATGTACAATAACCAAGCAAAGAATGGAGTCTGAAAACTAACCACTTTCACAAGAGAGTAAAACTACACTCCTGACAAGATGCAACTGGAACAAGTGAATGAAATAAAACAGCTGCTCAACAACTTGTGGGTGAAAGAAGCACCAAGAAAATCCACAACCATGACAAATCCTGATTTTCCAGCAACTATTTTTCCCTTCAACGAGGGAAAGAATTACTCGGAGGTCAGCCGCCTCCTCTTCCCATAATCAGCATCTTTTGACCTAGAATGGTGTTCCTCATCCTGTGATAATCTTGATTTACTGTGAGTCCTAGACGACCGCCCCCTTTCCCACTCATCCTCATGCTCTGGTTCACGATCTCTGTACCTGTGATGATCTGCATATCTGTCCCTATCTTCCCTGTATCTGTCCCTGTCACGATCTCGATCACCTCTTTCGCGCTCACGGTCACGATCACGAGACTTTTCCCTGTCACGGTCACGGGATCGTTCTCTAACCACCACTTCCCTATCCTCACGATGCTTTCTTTCTGGCCATTCAGGTTCATGTCCCACTTCTTTTTCTCTAGGTGCATCTCTCTCATATCCCTGATCTCTATCATCCCTATATCTTCGCTCAGAAGAACCAGACCAGTCCCTTTCAGATCCTCTATCCTTTTCCCTCGTAGTATTCTGCCACCCAGGTCTATCATGACTCACCTCACCGCCATACTGATGCTCTGATGCAGCTTCCTCCCCATAGCTTGACTCTCCAGCCCTGCCACCGCCAGGTTCTTCACCACCCCATCCGCCCATATTTGGATCCGGCCACATTCCCATATTGGGACCATCCATACCCGACGTAGGCATCATCCCCATTCCATTCACAGGCATCCCTCTTCCAAAAAAGGCGGGATTAACATGAGGTGCTACTCCAGGCAGACCAACACCTCCAACGCCAGGAAATGAAGGCATCATCCCCGAGAACGGAGGTGCCGGACCACCTGGATAGCCTCCAAAGGCTCCCATTCTACCCATGGGACCACCAAATGCAGGATCAAAACCCTGATTCATCATTGACTGAGGATGCATCATCGGCGGGGCACCACCAATACCCTGTCCGAATCCATTTCCACCATTACCCATAATACCTCTGCCGCCCATCCCACCGCCTCTGTTTCTCATTGGATTAACAGGCCCTCTATTCCCCATCCCAGGATTATTCCCTCTCCCCCAATTACCTCTTCCATAACCTCTATTATTATTATTATTCCCATCTCCACCTTGGTAGTTACCACCTGTCGCAATATTACTACCACCGGGTTTAGCCCCCACATCAGCAGGCCCCCTCCTTCCCTGATTAACCCCTCCGGCAGCTTGGTTCACCTGCTGATTTCTATTATTCTGAGCCTCTCCCATTTTCTTAACAGTAAAAGGCGAAGCAAAAGCAACAACACAAGGCCTCCCATTAAATAAATAACCATTCATCCCTTCCTTACAAGCTGTTGCGGCATATGCTTCATAAAACTCAACCTGACAATACCCTTTGGATTTTCCACTAGCTTTCTCATCAAAAAACCTCACCTCCTTAACTTGTCCATACTTGCAAAGCTCAGCTTCCAGCTCAGCATCAGTAGTCCACCAATGCAAATCACCCACAAATAATACAGTACTTCCTCCACCTCCTCCTCCTCCACCAACAACACCACCTTCGCCTCCTCCAGTATTAACACTATTAATAGCAATCACATTATTCCCAGCCCCATTTCCTCCAACCCTACTAAGATTAACCCCTCCAACAACACCACTAACACCAACACCTTGAACTTGTCTTACCAAACCATCATTTCCAACAACACCACCATGTTGTTGCTGCTGTTGTTGCAACTGCACACCCCCCTGCACTCCAACACCATCATTACCTCTCTGCTCTTCAATTTCACTCAATTTCCCAGACGCTTGACCTAATTCAACCCTAATCCCACCACCACCACCACCAATCCCCGAACCCGATCCAACTCCAGAATTACCCCCTCTAAACCCTTGATTCTGAAACCCATCAACTCTCCCAGAAACCCTAGATTCATCCCCTCCAGCAACAGTACCCAAATTCCCATCACCACCACCGACACCAGCCACCGTAACTCCACTCGGATCCTTTACAACAGAACCCGATTGAACCTTCTTATCCTCGCCACCATCATTCCTAACACCCGAATCATCGTTTTTCCGCAACGATTGAAGAAAACCCTCGCCAACATTAACATCGTTGTAAAGATCTTCGTAATCATCATCCTCTTCCGCTAAAAAACCATCGTCAGCCACCGCTGATATAGCCTCGTTACGGTGGAACTGATCCATAGGATCTCCGCTCTCACCAGCTTCATCCATTATCGAGGCTTTTTCCCACAACTTTTCCTAGGTTTCAAGAAACAAGAACGATTCTAGTTTTAAGGGTTAAAAGCGTAGACTGAAATTAGGGATCGAAACGGCAGCGTATAGAAGGTTTGAGACAGAGAGAGAGATGCGTGTTGTAGAAGAGAAAAGAAGAGAAGAGTCAGACACAACACAAAGCGAAACCCTAACGTAAGAAGTTGTCCACTCATCTAATCCTCTTTGTCATTGCTTTTAGGTTGCTCATAGTGTTACTCTTGTGTCATAGTATTTTTATTTTTTCACTTGTAGGGTTAAAAATTATTTTAAAATGCTTACTGTAATGAATTTTAGAATTAAATTAAATTACATCTGTTGAAACATAAGTAAGCGTTTTTTAAATTAAATTAGATTAAATTACTTTAATGAATTTTTTTTATGGAGACCAATTAAATTACATCTTAATTAATAATACCAAAATAGAGAAATATATTTATTTTACATGCCTCTTTTATGGGGTATGATATTTCCACTTATTCTATTTTTGTGTACGTAAATAACCCGATTAAAAATATTTATTATATAAAGTAATAATAATTTGTGAGTTTGTTAAATATAATTGTGTGTCTTTTTCTCTTTTAGTAATAAAATGAGTATTTTTTTTATTTTATCTAGTTTATATTAATGTGTGAGATTTATTTATTATTAATATTTCAGGTGTTTGTTGGTTTATCACCTTTATTGATGGATGTATTCGGGTGACTTTGGTCTACTTAAACAAAAATCGGAAGTTAGTCATATGATTCCTCAATTTCTCTTTATGGTTAAAAATCAATTTGGTATCAGTATTAAGAGGATTTGGTGTGATAATGCCAAAGGTTATTTTAATCATAATTTTAATTCTATGTGTCAAAATGAAAGTATCATTCATGAGTTTTCATGTGTTAAAATACTCCATCAAAATGGCATGGCGGGGAAAATGGGCATTTGTTAGACCAAACATGTGTCATGATATTTCAAAATAAAGTTTTCAAAAGGCAGTTTTAATTGCATCGTATCTCATAAAATATTTGTTTTTTACTGTCCTTGCCTCCAAAACTCCTATGGAAGTTGTCGCTTGCGCGAAAATAAGGTGCCGGCATGACAGAAGAGTCGCCACCTTTCGTTATTTATCCCTCAGAGCGGGAAAGGAAACGATCGGAAAAACCTGACGAAAAGGTATAAGACAAGGTCATCGCAACCATTGTCTGGGTTCGGGAGTCGGTTACGCAAGGGGAAGGTATTAGCACCCCTCACGTCTGTCGTACTCGACGGGATCCACGCTTGTTTGTTTACTTGGACGGGTTGGTTTTATTCTATCTACCTATCAAGGTTGGCTGAAAAAGAAAAGAAAAAATGACTCGGCAAAGCGTCGCACTTTATGCCTACGTATTCTCATCAGAGAATGAGAAATCAGAGTCAACGTAGTTCGGCCTACGAAGGATTACGGGGGAAAAGGTTGAAGGTTGCTCGCTAGGACGTCGCATCCTATGCCTACGTACTTCCACACTGTATGGAAGATCAGAGCAAACGTAGTTCGGGAAACTACAGGTTATCTCCTGAAAGAAGTGTTTTTTATTGTATTTGCGATTTCAACCGCACTAGAGACTGTGACCTGAGAGTGAATGCGTTGCATGTCACCCAAAGGGTACCATACTAAACATCCATCCTCAGATGGCTTAAGGCTCGTAACATACGAAAGAAATCATTCATGATTACTGTATCTTAAACTGCTTTGAGATGAGAAGAGAATAGGCCCAACTAGGAGGGAGACTATCAAATCCTACTGTGATCATGCCATGGATTCATCCTATGGTTGAGGTTTGAACAGGGAACTCCTAGAAGTTGTCATGCATAGGTTTCAACCTAAAAGTCTATCATCAAATCCTTATCAAAGGAAATGAGAGTCCTAAGGGATCATGTCAATGATACACCAAAACAGACAAAGCATCAGCTTTAACAGTAAAATGCATGCAATGCAAGTGAGGGAGGAAATGTGTGTGGGGCTTCAGCCACCACAAGCTCATCTCAACCTCAAGCCAGTCATGAAATAACAGTAATCATACTGAAATATAAACAACACGCTATCAAGCAATAAACAACAAAAGAGATGAAATGCCATCAGGCCAACAAAACACATGCTGGAGAAAGAATCATCTACATTTACTCTCTAATCTTAACCCTAAAACAGAACTCTAATCTAATCTAAGCAAAGCCCTAAAGCAAAACCTAAACAAGAGAAATCAATCCCGGTCTCCAAGCTTCAAAACAAGCTTACCAAAGAAAGGGAGCTAAGTAGGCAGACTCATAGTGTCTTCCTCAGGAAAGCACTAGGAGGCTTATACTCAGGAGTCATACCCTATGTGGCTCAACCACTGTGATCAGTTTACATTCCTCCTCAGGAGAAACTAAACTCACAAGCAGGCTCCAACATCACTGGATATTTAGGAAATCCTACCTGAACTAGTGGAACTAAGTGAATAGACCCATAGGACCTTCCTCAGGAAAGTACTAGGAGGCTTCCACTTAGGAATTGTATCCCATGTGGCTCAACAACATGTGATCAGTTTACATTCCTCCTCAGGAGAAATTAAACTCACAAGTTGACTCCAACATCATTGGATACTTAAGAAATCCTAGATGAACTAAGGGAACTAAGTGAATAGACCCATAGGACCTTCCTCAGGAAAGTACTAGGAGGCTTCCACTTAGGAATTGTATCCCATGTGGCTCAACAACATGTGATCAGTTTACATTCCTCCTCAGGAGAAATTAAACTCACAAGTTGGCTCCAACATCATTGGATACTTAAGAAAGAGGTGAGAAGAAAGAATGAAAGTCATTCATAGTGCCTTCCTCAGGAAAGTACCATGAACTTCCCTCAAACTTCAGGATCTCAAACCTCACAGACAGGGAATAATCTCCAAGCTCTGGGTCTCTGAGTCTTGATCTACAATCTTCTCTTTCATCATGCTCTTCAACAAGATCTCCAAAACAAACTAAGCCCCACAACAAATTCCCAAAAATAACCCCCAGAGACAGGCAAATAACCTCAGAACAGACAAAACCAGCAGTCAACTTCAGAAAATATCTAAAAATACTAAAACAAGGGGGAAAATTCTAACAATTATTCACAAGGGTCTGTAATATCTAACCATAACATCCCTATATGCCCCTACCCAAAGATCAAGACAAAACTCTCTAAAGAAAATGAATTACCTTACCTATGCATAACATAAACCCTAATTAGGATACCCTAATGCTAACCTAATTAAACTAATCAAATTTTAATCTAAAAATCAAGAATTAAATCCTATGGGGAACTATGATTCAATATCTAATCACACCAAAAAGAATGAATTAAAAAGACTAAGGGAAGGTCCTAAAACAAATTCTACAAAATTGGGTATCAAACTAAACCTATTTAAAAGCTATTAAAAAGAAAAAATATACTAAAAATACTAAACTAAAGATAAAATGGAATTTTATTTATTTATAATTTTTTAGACAAATTTATGAACCTATAGAAAGAACAAGGATTGAAAAATATTAATTTTCCTATTTTCTATGAATTTTACAATATGCAATGAAATGTAAAAGAAATGAAAAATAAAAGAAATTAATTAAAGGGGAGGGGGTGTTAACAGTAAAGCGCCCAGGTTGATTCTCATGATGGGCCCAGGAAGGGGGGTGCGCCTAGCAGGGCGCGCCTGGGCCCGATGGCTACCAGAAAAAACAATTGAAAAATAAAAAGAAAATAGACATGAGGACGGTGCAAATAGCATTGGTTTTCAGTTATTTTCCTTTGGGCTCACGCTATGGGGGGTGCGAATAGCAAATAGGGCCTAAGCCCAATCCAGAATTTCTTCAACTTTCACACAGGGGGGGGGGGTGAACGAGCGTAATGGGGTATGCTTCAGCAAAACCAAATTGGGCTTAACCCAGCCCAGACCTAACCCTAATCCAACCAGCCTATGAACAAAACCATCTCCTTCCCCCAAATCTCTGGTTACTGTTCACCCAAAACCCTAGTCGTCTTCTCCCAACTCTCCTCTCAAACAAACTCCGATCCTCTCAATCTCAACCTTCTGAAACCCTAAATCAAGCCACCTCTTCTTACGCCGTTACGATCCAACATCCTCCCTACTCCTCTCAGCCAACACAAACCAACCTAGCTGTAACCTTCATTTGGACTAACACAGATAGCACATTCTGTAAACAATGAACAACACGAACATACCTGATGAACACGTCTGAAGATCTCAATAGGTGGAGATTCTGGAGATTTGCGAAGGTGCGCTTGAAGAACAATAATTTCTCTGGGGAAAAAACTGAGGGAGACGAAGATCTTAGGAGCTTCTGGGGATCTGACGGCGGATGTTCTTGGACGTGCTTTGCAGAATCGATGAACGCCGTGTGTACGAAGATGAAGGGGAGAAAATCTGGGAGCGATGAAGGTTGACGGAGGTTGAGGGTCTTCGGAGTTGCTTGAACGTTCTTGGATGTCCTCACGATCTGGAAACGGAGGAGGATTGAAGGTGTTGGAAACGTGAAGCACAATGAAGGTTTGAAGAATTTCTGGGAAATTCTTGAGATTTCTTTGAAGATTGAGGGACGAATCTGGGCAAGATGATGAAGTTTCCGGCGACGTTGAGTTCTCCGGTGAGGTATGGATGAAGATGGACGGAGGAATAAGGGGGAGATCGGAGAAGATAGGATGATTCTGGGTATTTTCTGCAAATTTGCAGTTTCCGGCGACCCTACCGGTCTCCGGCGACTGTTACGGTGGAGGAAAACGTCCGGGTCGGCGGCTGCATGGCCGGCGATTGGGGCTCCGGTGTGGGATGTGGGGAGGACAAGTGGCAGGAGGCTGAGAAGGAAGAGGGGCACGTGTGGAGAGAGAGGGAGTAGTGGGACGCGTGTCAGGTTCTGGGGAAGTCTGAAGTGTGGCGTGGTGGGGTCTCCTTTGCACGCGTGGC